ATGAGCTGGTGTGTACTTTTTCACAACCAGCTACACGTCAACACTGTGACATGTTAGATTAAGAAAGACTCACTATGAATGAAAAAGACTGTAGCCATTCTTTAAGATGCCATCCATAGACACCTGTGACAGCATATAATGATGGTCCTTCACACCCACGCAGCCTCAGTCTGTAGGCTACAACAGTACAAGTACTATCCCTGTCATCTTGTTTGTCTCTCTTTACTACCGCACCAAATAAAGGCATGTACAGTGCAGCAGTCTAGTCTCTGAAGCAAAGGGTTTAAAAGTGTTGGTTGTAAAAAACAAAACAAATAGCTCATCAGTGGTAAAGGTGACAAGCGTGAAGCAAAGTGTGAACTGAAAGTCTTCACGCGAACGTGGTGGAGCAGGGGACAGGGCCTGAGCAGGGCAGGCGGCGGCTGATGCATGGGGGTGGGGGGGTTTGGGGGGATGGTGATGATGAGAACAGACACGAGCCACATGAGGCCCCCTGACAATGCAGGAGTCCCCTGTGGTATGTCCAGCAGTCTACTTATGCACGCACGCACACACACACACAGATATGCACGCATGCACACAAGCACGCGATTTTAACACTACCACACTGGCTTTTTGTAATAATAAAAATGTAACATAAATGTTAAATGTAAATGAAAAGAAATGTTTAAAAAACATTTTGTTCAAATGAATTGTGTTCTTCACTATGAATGACGGCGTATTGTTTTCTATTTCTTATTCGTAATGATTGCACTCCCTCTAGTGGTGTTATGTGATATAGCAGTTAACTCTGGAAGCCTACATTACAACTGTATAGACACGTATACAGTGTGTTTTGCATGTCTGCATGTATAGGTGCACAAATCGCCATTACTATAAAGTCTTTGTCCATCAATATCCAACAACGTTGCTTTTATTTGCTTGCTGAATGGGTTGACAGCAGCACAGTGAAGTTGGTTTGATAAACCAGACTTAAATTTAAACTGCGTGGGGGAAGTTTCATACACAATTCATTTTGGCAGCAAAAAACATCCCAAATTTGGTTAGGCACCATTTGTGGAACCACGCTGGCTATTCTACACATGTTGTGGACACCAGAAGTCATTCCCAGTTTGCCTCACCAACACACCACTGGTCCCCCTCCACCATGAGGGTGCCTTTAAAACGATATGCCTTCTGGGGTGTTCTTTTATGGGCTGCAGTTGCACCATTGACTATTGTATAATTCTCTTCAAATCAGTTTGTTCCCCCTTCTCCCCCCTTTTTAGCCCACCCCTGACTTAACAACCAGAAAAAGGTCACATTTCTGAGAAGTGACTTCCATGCATGTTCCATGCTGGGTCGTCACTTTCAATTTCCTAAGACCTTTCATGTCACACACCCATCAGCACAGAAAACTGCAAGCACTCTACACACTACCATGTGCACTGTTTCCATGGTGCTGGTGTGATACATAAAGTAGAATACTATTAAACAAAAAGCAATATATTGTAAACTGTCCTTTTGACTGGATTACATTTAATAATCCAGTTACTCCAAAAAAGGTCACGCTTTGTTACAGTTTCAAGTTTTCAGTTTTACTTTTAACCCATCATCAGGAGGAGGTTTACAATATGCACAGATTTGCAGTGTTAAAGGTGAATAGAGGTAAAACTAGTAAAAATGGGTTTTACATTGCTTATTTTGGGAAGTGTAAATGCAAATGGCATACATGAGCAGAACTGATCATCTCCTTATTTTCATGTCCTCCTTCACTCCTGCAGTATTTAACACTGTGAGAGACCCTCAGGCCACCTAGTGAGCACTCAACAAACGACTGTCTTTTTCTTTTCCGGCACACCGTTCAGATGGTACGAGATGTTTAACTCTACGCGCAAAATTAATGGAGCATGAAATGTAGGCCTGAAGTGCAGCAGGCTCCTAACCTGCAGGTGACATTGTCTTGAAGCTCTCATTGTGACCTAAGTGAGCTGTATCATAACCGCATTTGACTAGTGACAATTAGTGACCTTTTGCCTATCCAGCAGCCATCCATTTCAATTACACCAACCTGGAAAGCTTTGGTGGGTAAGCGAGCTCAGATACTATACTGATACTGCCAGTGTATTTATATTGTACTACTACTGTTAGTTTGGCCACTGTACTGTACCGCTAGTCTTAAAATACTTTAATGCCATTTAGCAAACTGCTGGAATGGATTTTGTATAAAATGTGTATGTCGAGTGAGGTTTTAAGTGATAATAATACAGCGTTTATCGTAATGTTGTACTCTTATTTTCCTTAAAGGTCCAGTGTGTAACATTTAGGAGGCTTCTATGGAATATAATATTCCCCGTTATGTTTTCATCAATGTATAATCACACAAAAATAAGAATAGCTGGGTTTGTGACCTAAGAATGAGTCAATTTTATCTACAGATGGAATGGGTCCTCTTCTACATTGGCATGTTTCTACAGTAGCCCAGAATGGACCAACCATACACACCATAGGGCCTTTTGCAAGTTTCATGGCCACCATAGTTTCTCCTACATCCTTCAAAGTATTCAAATGGTTGCAACTTCACCACCAGATGCCACTAAATTCCACATAATGGTCTTTTAATATCTTTGAAAGGTCATGCCAGTGTGAACTCTTTTTAAGAAATGATACTTTCTATACATTTTTCCAACTGTCAAGTGTTTTGTTTGTCCATTGGTGCTGATCACTGAAATGAAAAATAAATGTGTGAATTTGCAAACTGAGTTGGTTTTATTTCCTGAAGTGAAGCCGCTGTATCTCGTTTTGCAAGAAGCAAACTTACGTTGCCACATTTTTACCACCATGACTATTCTCAGAATCTAACACTATGTTTTCAGTTTAGACTGTTCACATGTGTTTAATCTTTTTTGGGGGGTTGGTGGTTGAGAATATGTAGATGTGACATTCTTCATTCTTCTGTTAGTGATTCATCCACACATCACAGGTTTATGACAGTTTTTTCTTTATACAAGCACCAGCAATACTTCGGCTTCCTCCTATATCTTACATCAGCTCCACCTCAGGCCTGTCTGCCTTCACTTCAGCGACATAGAGTACAAACCTGAGAAACCTCAGAGGCAGGAACATAATATAAAACCTCACACTATCACTTCATCTAACCTTTCACAAAAATGTGCAGCACCAGCCACAAGCAGTAGTGCAAATACATGCACTGTTTTATTAAACTTTAGCCCCTGTACATATTATCACATATGCTTTTGTCCAAAGCATTACAATTCGTGCATTTTACCTCTGCAGGAGCAATAGTGATATTGTCATATGCATATGCATGTGTTAAAGAGCACACACAGTGAAATGGATACTTCATGCGTGCAAAGAAGCAAAGTTAACACAATCAGTTATTGCTTAATACCACTATCACTTTCTATCTATGTCTCTTTCTTTCTGACACGCAAACAGACACTCAGTCCCTGCAGTGTAGGTAATACAGAACTGCTATAGTAAGGTGTGTATTAAACTATTTCTGTGCCTCCATCTGAAACCCAGGTGACACCACAAATCTCTGCGTGAAATCGCTCAGTGGATGTTGGCAAACCACTTAAGCTCAACCTCAACAAAAGTGAGCTGCTTTCTAAGAAGGCATCTTTCACCCATGACCTCTCCATTACCATTGATATTTCAGTTGTGTCCCAGGCTTGGACAGCAAGAAACCTTGGTGACACTGGATGACAAGCGGTCCTTCACTGCCAACATTGCTGCAACAACCCACTCCTGCAGATTAATTCCCTGTCACATCAGGAGGATATGTCTGATCCTCACCCAGGAGAGGGCGCAGTTTCTGGTCCATGCTCTTGTCATTTTACATTTTGACTACTGTTACTCACTCCTGTCTGGTGTGCCTGCACGAACTATCAGGCAGGCAACTGCAGCTCATCTAGAATGCAGTTGCCTGCTTACCCAAGTTCTCCCCGCTACATTGTTCTTCGAATCATGACTGTTTGCTGTCCTGGTTCTACAGTGGTGGAATGACATCAGGGCAGCAGAAGCGCTGCACATTTTCCATCGCAGACTCATGAAGTTGATGCATGATTCTTGTGATTTTGAGGATGTATCCACATGGCTGAATGTACTTATTGAAGTCATTTTGGATAAAGGCATCAGCTAAATAAATATTGCTGGTAGCCACAAGGTCAACCATTAATATTTGGTGCAGTGTGCAACATTAAGGAGAATCTATTGGCAAATATTGAACATTCATAGGTATTTTTTCAAAAGATATATAATCACCTGCAAATAAGAATCATTGTGTTTTTGTTACTTTAGAATGAACCATTTTTAATCTACAGAGGGAGTGTTTACTCTTCCGCAGACGCTGCCATGTTGAACTGCCAGACTTTGCGGGGGTTTTTTCGTGTGTTTCACGGCCACTGTAGTTTCTCCTACACACTAGGAACGGGAGGTTTAGGCAAAGGGCAATGTAATCTTTAACTACACCTCTAGATGCCACTAAATCACACTGGACCTTTAAGACTTAGAGTTATGGTTAGAGTTGTCCAATGTCCTCTTAAGAGAAATGCATGGCTGTGTTTGTGAAGGTGTAAGACAATTGTGCTTGTCATGAAGAGAAGTGTAAGCAACATCAGCATGAAAATACAGCAAGAAAAAGGTGTAAATGTCATAATATACATACACAGTGTTCATATACATGTAAATGTATCACTCAAACCTTATTTGTTTGGTTTTCATAGGAGGTGCAATTTAATAATAATAAGACAAATTAGAAGCTATATATATATATATGAACTATTATACTAATAGCTAACTAATAGTTAACTAATCACATTTGTTTCAAAATTGTCAATGAAAAGCTTTAAAAAGTCTACTGTGCACAGTGCATCAACTAACTGGGGTTACAGCACAAAGAACAAAGTACAAAGTTTGACTGACATATGATGTCAAAAAGGAGAGGTGGGATTTGAACAAGGCTTAGAACCTTTTCAGAGGTATTATAAGTGTTGCAGCTCAATTTACAACCACAACCACCAGACTCAGGAGTATTAACAGTGGATTAACTTGGGAACCCTATCTCTTGTTGTGAGTACTCTATATCTATATCTATAACTCAGTGGTCTTTCATTCCTTTGCTTATGCACACTTGTTTCCTGCCTGTTATGATGATAATGATTTACAGTGGGATCCTTTCCTCATAAAAACAGGTGGGATGGCTGTTGAAAATATCACCCTGGACTCTGAAAACTCTCCAAACCAGAGCAGCTGTGATGTGTTTGTCTACCAAAGAGCTGCAGTGGTCCTCTTCCCTATATTCTACTCTGTGGTTTTTATCATCAGTGCGTTTGGCAACAGCCTGGTTCTCTATGTAATCTGCCAGAGGAAGCAGAAGTTCAACTCCACCTCCATCTATCTGGTCAACTTGGCGCTATCCGATACCCTGTTCACACTGGCGCTGCCTGGCAGAATTATTTACTACATCCGCCACTATGACTGGCCCTTTGGTGACCTTCTCTGCAGACTGACTACACTTCTCTTCTTTGCAAATACCTATGCAGGTAATATAAGTGTTTTGTTGTCAATAAGCCATCATATATTTTAGTGTGTATTGTGCTGCATATGTAAACACATTTCCACATCAGGTTTAACTCTATGAAGTGAAGTTTATGTGTGCAAGACTTTAGCATTTACATAAGACAAGAAAACAGTATAGGCTTAAGAGCCAATTTAAAATTGCATTAGACCTTCATACACTCCTGGTATGAGGTATGAAAAGCATGTATCAGAATGGGACTAAGATGGTGAAAACATATCAAATCAGTTTTGCTTTGCCATTTTCTTCTGCACATATATGTTGAACTGCATATTCATATTTCCACCAGGTATTGGCTTCATGACCTGTATCAGTCTGGACCGATACCTGGCCATGGTGCATCCACACCGACTGCAGTGTTTGCGGAGTGTGAGGGTGGTTCGCAGGGTTTGCTGTCTAGTCTGGGTTCTAGTATCCCTGCAGATAGCTCCTCTGCTATTCCGCAGCATGCTGCATAAGCACCAGGACAGACAAACCTGTATGGAGTACTTCAACTTTGAGGGCTCCAACTTCACCCCTTATCTCCTGCTTCTCGCCTGTGCCATCTCCTTCTGCTGTCCGCTCATCATCATCATGGGCTGCTACGCAAAGATCAACCTGAAGCTGCGAGCTGCGGCCAAACAGAACTCTATAACTGGTCGATCAAGGAGGAATCACAGGGCCAACACAATTATTCTCCTCATTCTCCTCACATTCTTCATATGCTTCAGCCCTTACCACCTCAACGTTATGCAGTTTATGTCCAGAAAGATACACCATCAGCCAACCTGCGAGGAACTGAGGGCGTTTAAGGTGTCCTTACAGGTAGGAACTGGCTTGTTCATTGAATTTCAAACAATCCCCATCAATTTTCCTTTTCATAATCCATCTCCTCCCTGCAGATTACCGTTTCACTAATGAACTTCAACTGCTGCTTGGATCCAGTCATCTACTTCTTTGCCATTAAGACCTACAAGAAGCGGGTGCTGAGCCTGTTTAAGGACTATCTGTACACTTCTGGTGCCTCCTCCAAAATGACAGCTGAGAACAGCAGCAGCAACACCTGAAAAAAACCACAGCTGAGCTGTGCCATATGCCTCTGTGTCACAAAGAAGACCTAGTTTACTCTGTGTTGATGCTCTTTGTATATATCTTTCACTTAAAATACTATGGCAACTCTGCATGTACATATGCTGTAGATGTCCATTATAATGCAAGAAAGATCCTTTTTGCTTTCCAGCTGCCCCAAAAAATCTCCTCAGCTTTGTTCAAGTGATGAGCTGAGCTGATTTGTTTGAGAAGGCTGTATGAAATGTATTGTCCCATATCCAATTTTCTTTCTACATGATATTTTTGCCTTTTTTACGTCTTGCAGTAACGGTTGTGTCATACAGAAACCTATTTTAACCAATCATTAATGCGTTTCTGTGTACTAGAGGACTCGTTTGTTTGTGTAAATGTGCAGGGTGACATATATTTCCTAACCTAGATAAATAAGCTATGCTTTTGTTTTTTTCAACTATGTAAGAAATGTTGTGGTCATTAATGCAGCACAACAGCAAGTTTCACTTCCTTATGTTTTTGCCAATTCAAGTCATGTGGCAGAAATTGTGTGTGTGTGTAAGTTGATGGAATTAGTTTATCATTGGACGCTGGTGCATATAAATCTGTAATGTGTGCTTTCCTACTAACAAAATCATTATTTTACGTTATTCAAGTACCTTTGATATGTTTAAACGAGAACATGGCACATATATCTCTTTCACACCCACATCTGAGTTCTGTGTGGGAGTGAGTAGATGAGTACCATCACCACTTCCTCACCCACCTTTCCTGCTTCCTTTCAGAGGCCTCATTCCTTCTGGGTCCCATATCTTGCGGTGTGTGTGTGTGTGTGTGTGTGTGTGTGTGTGTGTGTGTGTGTGTGTGTGTGTGTGTGTGTGTGTGTGTGTGTGTGTGTGTCTTCGAATTTAAGCAGGTGCACATTGTCTGTTTATAGTGCAGAGTCGCATATTTAAATTTAACCTTCAACATTTCCTGGGTTTTTGAAAAAGCTGCCCTATGATTTTGCATAGAAAGTGAGGTGCACAAATTGAGTCACAAAGCGCTCAACTGACTGACTGACTGTTTGACTGTTTCGCAATTATTATGAAATGATTTATTTGTCAAGAAGGAGAGAAATAGATAGTAATGTGCATTATATGACTGGTGAAATAACAGCATTCTCTAATCTGAGAATGCATAGTGGATGGTAAGTGCTGATGAGATTTACTTACTAAGTAAACTTAAGAGACCCCTGAATGACTTGCTTAATGACTTAATGACATCTTAAAATAAAATCTGGTTTTGATATGGATCCAGTGGCATCAGAAAAAGATTGATAATTTGTGCTCAATTGCAAGACATTGCAATAACCGAGTCCAGATGATACATTTGTATGAATAAGGGTTCGACAAATTGACAAAAAACTGACAATGTGTATGTCTGCTTTTTTAAGCAGGTAATCTGAAAGATAATCTGGAAAATGGAAACAAAAAACAATGGACCTAACAAAGTCAAGTATACAATTTGAGATGGCATTGTTGTAAATGACTCTGTTCTACCCAGTAAATATGAACTGAACCTCTCCTTATAGTTTGCACAGCATTTCCTTCACCACCTTCAGCAAGATTTAATAGTAGGTTGGACCACAGTTCTTCAAGTATTCCGAAGACAAAAGGGAAGTGGTTTCTTGTAGAGAGATTTGATAAAGACAGCTTTGAAGGCAAATGGAATTTAGCAAGAGGAGAGTGAGTTGCTCTAAGGCGTAAAAAGGTTCCTTAAAAAAGGTAAGAGATCTACAAAAATAGGATTGAAAATGCTAGTTTGTATGTTTAGTGGATTAACGGCAATGTGACAGGCTGATAATGTGAATGTTTGGATAAAACATTTAGCCATTTTCTGTGGTGTAAAAAGGATCTTATAGAGGACCTTTAAATCTACATTAAGAGATGTGACACGACAGACACAGATGATGACTGACACATCAAGCAGACACAGAGCCACATTAACATTCATTAGGAGTTGGTGGATAGTAAAACAGAGTGGGGTGAAGAGTTGTTTCTATCAACGTGACTCTTCACCCCACTCTGTTTCACCATCTACCGACTCCTGAGAGAAGCATGTGACTCTTAAGCTGCTAAATCCTACACTATGCTCATCTGCTAACTGTCTGTGGTTTAGTGCTGCCATGTTTGTCACTGTAAACAACCAGAGTGCGTGTAGTCATTGGATCCATTGTTAATATAAAAAATATTAAACAGAGCAGCTAAGTTCTGTCTTAAATCATATTGTGAGAATAAAGTCCTACTGCTCTAGATTTAATTATCATATTGACGATATTACTTTTGGTTTTAATCAATAAAAATAATGATTCTAATTGACTTAATAAGACATTATTCTTTAGTAGTAGTAGTAGTAGTAGTAGTAGTAGTAGTAGTTGTAGTAGTTATAGTAGTAGCATTTATATTTTGACCAAAACTGTCTTTTGCAATTGGCATTTGGTGTATTTGTGTTCGGTATGCTTCTCAGTAAGTTGCAAATGAAAACTTCCATAAATGGACCAAAGGTTGTTGTTCACAGTCAGAGCAAGTCCTAACCATCCATCCATTGGCTTGACTGAATACTTGATGGTTATTATTTACTGAGAGATGTGTATCCATATTGCCCAGTATGCCCAGCTAATCAACATTTAAATTAAATATCAAATCAAGTGTCAATGTCAATCCACTGCTTTTCATCCTTAACTAAAAAAAAGTTTTAAAATATTGACTGACAGACTAGATTATAATTAATAATCTTATATTATTAATTATTATCTTATATATTGTCTGGACTGGTGCTCACAGAGGTTGCTGCTACTGGAGAGAGCGACTTTTGAGTTTCGTGCATGCGCATATGACGTGATTCTTTTTTCCGAGATGCAGTTTATAAACAGCATTTTCCGTTTGCATTTATCAAACATGAAAAAAAAATAGCATTACACTCTCACTGTTGTAAGGCACAAAGTCACAGAACATCCCTAGAAGACACAGACAGACTAAGAGCTGCACTGTCCAGCTATTAGGGAGATGTTGCAAGCCACACACTTGCACGCTCGGTGAGGCAGGGCCTTGCATAATTTGTGAATGCATAGGGCCGACAGGCACTGTTCACAGTACACACAGCACCATTAGCAATAGCATTATGGCTAACAATCAGCTTCACTCACACTCCACTGCAGCACCTGTATGTTGTTCCATTAGTTCGCTGTCTTGAGAACTGCATGCCTTTTGTGTCAGAAAGTAATGCAAAAACAACCCTAACCACACATGCTATACGATTAACCAAACCATTTTTTTTATCAGGCAAGCATACACAAACAAGTTTTGATTTCTTCTCACCAGAAACAAACCTGTGAATGAGAACGACATTGACGTTATTGAAAGTAGTCATGAGATTTGTAGCAATCCCCTAAGCAAAGCTTCACACCCACCTCCAATGAATCATTCTTTAGGAGGGTCATTAAGATTATTGTAGCATTATTATTTACAAACTATTACTTTGACCTGATGTCTGAAGTTCAGTCAGTTCAGAATGGTATCGTTTCATCTCATCAAAAAGACTAGCCGTCTGGAAAACTGCATAAATCATCAACGCTAACCTCAAGTGATATCAGAAGACTCAAACCATGTTTCCTTTAGATGACGTGGCACACTCTGCCGTCTCTTGTCCCATCACATACTACTGTATGTGGTCTTGCCACTACATATTAGACCCATGCAAAAGCTATAATATCGTCAGACCTCTCAACACAACTGTTTCTAAACAGTTACTATATAGAGGACCAGCCTTTCTCCCCAAATCTCAAAGTGCAGTGCACCTGCTTCAAGTTTTATGCAAGGTATGTTTTGCACACCCACATATTCTTACAGTTCTTACAGTTCGATCTTACAGTAGCAGTTGTACTGTACACTGACAATTAAGGTCTGATTTACAAAAATCAATCTTAACTCTGCATCAGTTTCTTCACTATAATAAAGCCTACATTGAATGCATAGGTAGGCTATCAATGTAACTACAGTGTGTCTTCAGTAACTCTTAATTGCCGGCTACATTGAACACATAACATATGCAGACAACACCATGCTAAATCTGGCTACACCGGATGTGAGACCAGCACACAAGTGGTGCGTGTGGTCATTCTTCTTTGTTCTAGGGACTTTTAAAGAGACTGAAATAGCAAACTAAAGGAGCGGTACAGTTAAAGTCAGCCTGCATGCTGTACTCTGTAGGTGTTACCTTACCCAGATTACTCAAATGGGGTGAAAGTTTAAGTTTCACATCAGTGTGTCGGATTGAAAAACACAATTCCACACAGTACTAAAATGAACGCTCACTATATTGTTTTGTCACTCACGCATATGAGATGCTGGAAGTCAGTGACAGTTGGGTGTGTGCTTGGATGCAGGGGCCAGTTCATCATAGTTTATAATGATAAAGCGCAGTAAGACAAGTGAATAGTGGTGGCTATTTGTCAAATAAAGCAAAAAAAGTATGATCTAGTCTTTCTGTAAAGTTTCTTCAAGCCATCCATGAATGGACTCAATGTAGCCCTCATGCACTCCTGTATGTGAAGGCTCGACAGAGTTAAGATTCAAAGAGACAGTTTCATTTTATCCCTGATGGAGTGTCACTCTAACACAGTTACATATTGCTGAGATAAAGTGTAGTTAGAGGGTTAAAGGTTTATGCATATAATAGCCTCTTGAACAGGCTGTGTATGGTTTTACAATGACCAGGTCAAAGGTTCATGTAGGTTATTACAAATATCCATTACAGTATATAACATGGATCTGTCTGTTTGTCACCGTTAACAGAGACTGCGGTCTGCAGAGCAGTTCAGACATCAACACAAAGCTTCACGATCAAAGAAAAATTCACATCACTTTCGCACGCCATACGCTCTCACATCCATATGAGCAGCCTTATCTGTCTCTCTGACTCTGCTGCGTGTCTGCTCACATTTGTCAGATTGCTGTTTTGTTTTACCTGAATGACTACATACATACACACATACAAAACTGTTGCATAATAATGTGCAAGATTATTAACTATTAGTATTATTCTTAAAATAATTTATCTCTCTCGTTTAACCTCTATCTCTATCTCTATCATTGTGTTTTACATATAAAACAAACTGCCTTGCCCTTTGGTATGAGTCAACTTTGTTGTTGATGCACACCCATAGGTGCTTGCTAGATTGCAACATTTTCACTTCCTCACGCTAAATAGTGTCAGTTAGTAGCTTCTCATTCAGTCATCTACCAGCTCCTTCTTTCTGACATTCCGTTGTATGGTTGTATTTGCATTGCCTGCCAAAGCCCTCTTCTAGTCTTTAGTGCTACCCCTCATGACGCCCAATGAGGAGTCGTCAAACAATGCTACTGGTGCTGGCAGTGACCCTGAGCTGAATCCTCTGAACTGTTTATCTTAAGGCCTTTAAAAATTTGGAAGATTTTGAATGCCTAAATGAAAACAAATTTAACACAGAAATTAAGAGAAATACAATACACCTTATTTGTATTTACTTTGTATGTATGGATATATGACAAACAAAACAAATGTTAAATTACATTAGCTTTCTGTCCGGAACTGCAGGTTTTTTTTGCTGAATTCTCAGTAAGTGTTGATAGGAAAGCATTTTAGCCTCTTTGCTAGTTGACGTTGGCTTACAGCGAAATAAGATAAGATGACTACATGGTAGATAGCTAGAATTGCATGAATCTGAGGCTGCAGGATGGATGCGCACAGCATTACTTCTACTGATGAAAACAGAAAGTCTAGAAGTATAACTTTTAAACAATTAACTAAAGAACAAAACGGTCACAAACAGCAGGTCTCTCCCTACACTTTTCTAAAATTTAGGACTTAGGAATTTTCAAAGTTTGCTCGCAGGATCATGTGTGTCTAAATATTCGCCCTTTAATCTGATTGACTACAGCAGTATGAGTACAAAACAAACTTCAGTGTGAATTCCTACTTTGTCAGGTCCGTCTGGAAGACAAGCAAGCAACTTTTAAAATGCATGTTTTCTGAACAGAGTTTGGATCGATCAAGGCTATGATAACGAACTGATGGCTGGAATCAAGTAACAGACACATATTTTCCTACCAGGTAGTTTAACTTCCAGTTTAACTTAAGAATCCGGAGTGACTTATTCCTCCAGAAGCTGCGGCTGTTAAGACTGGAGAACTCCTAGGAAATAGACCCCAAATGCAAGACAGGCAGAAGCAGGATATAGATATGAGAATCAGTTAACTTTTATAACTTTTTAGAAAAATTCACTTTGTGCGCCATCCAAAATTTATCTTCTAGCGCTCCATTCACATGCTCTGCTTGGGGGTTTCTGTCGTTTTTCATTTGACTTTTACAAAATAAACATTTATTAAATAAAATTAGACATGTATGGTGTGACTTTCTATAGAATTGGACACTACTTACATTAGAATGCTTCAATGTGACAGAACTCAAAGAGTAGTTAAAAGTAAACATGATCCTCATGGGAAATCTCGCTATTCTTCATGCTAAACATTTGTTGTATGTAGTA